GGACAGCAGGGGGAACCCGCCTTGGGGCTGGGGGGAGCAGGGGGACCCCGCCTTGGGGCTGGGGACAGCAGGGGGACCCCGCCTGGGGGGCTGCAGCCGATGGGAAGGCTGAGATCGCTGTGGGGGTGTGGGGTGTGTGGGTGGACGTGCTCTGGGGGTGTCCAGGTGAGGGATGGCTGTGATCTGGGGGTGTCCTGGTGGGGAATGGCTGTGATCTGGGGGTGTCCATGCTCTGGGGGTGTCCATGCTCTGGGGGCATCCAGGTGGGGGATGGCTGTGATCTGGGGGTGTCCGTGCTCTGGAGGTGCCCAGGTGGGGGATGGCTGTGCTCTGGGGGTGTCCAGGTGTCCGTGATCTGGGGGTGTCCTGGTGGGGGATGGCTGTGATCCCCCGGGTGGGGGATGGCCGTGATCTGGGGGTGTCCGTGATCTGGGGGTGTCCAGGTGGGTGTGGCTGTGCTTGGGGTTGCTCCGTGGGGCACTCAGGTGGGTGCGTGGCTGCACTTTCCAGGGTGCTCCGTGGGGCGCCCAGGCTCGGTGGGTGGCTGTGTGTTTGGGGGTTCTTCTGGGCTCCGTGGGTGGTGTGGGGGCTGTGCCTTTCGGGGTTGTCTGTGGGGTGCCTGGGCTCGGTGTGTGGCGCTGCGTGAGGTTCTGTGCCACGGCCAGGTGCCAGGCCGGCTGCTGTCACAGGTGTGAACGTGCACAGAATACCTGGGGCAGGGGGCTGGGCAGCACAGGGAGGTCCTGGAGGCTCAGAGGAAATTGTGTCCATGTGCAGAGCTGGGTGGTGGCGTCCCCTCGATCCCACCGAGGGGATGGAGCGAGGCGGGCAGCAGCTCTCCCCCAGCTGCCAGCGCCTGCGCCGGGGGCTTCTCCACCCAGCAGTGCAGGGCTCAGGGTGTGCCCAGGGGGTTCGGGGGGCTCAGGGGCTGCGAGGGGGGCACTGAGCGGGTCCCCACTGTCGTGGCAGGCGGAGGAGTTCCACACCCTGGTGCACTCCTTCCTGGGGCGCCTGACCGAGTCGGAGAAGACCCTCAAGTACGGAGTCTTCCCCGAGGAGGAGGCGGCCGTGCAGGAGTGCCAGGCCCAGCTGCAGGTGGGTGCCAGTCCCCACCTGTCCCCACCAGTCGCGGCCAGTCCTCACCTGTCCCCACCAGTCCCCACC